CGGGAAACCCCCAGTGAGATCAGCGGAAGGAATTTTTTAAAATGAAGGTAGTCGGAGGCACTGGTCCCCGACCTTTCTGGCACCAGGGACCAGTTTTGGAGGGGACAGCTTTTTAACGGGGGGAGGGGAGGGGTGTCGCTCAGGCAGTCCTGCGAGAGTGATGGGGAGCAGGGCGCAGCGTCGCCCGCCGCCCGCCGTGCGGCCCAGTCCCCAATGGGCCACGGGCCGGCACTGGTTCGCCGTCGGGGACCCCTGGTCCGGGGGCCTCTGGTCCAACATGAACCCTAAGCACATCCGCCCCGTAGGGCTCCCCTACGGAGAAGAGACAGAGCAAGGAATCGAGAGCCTAGTTAAAGAAACACGGGCCGGAAACTCCCCTCGCCTGCGAAGGAAAAGGGCACACGAGTCCAGGAAGCGCAGGGAGCCCCAAAGGAGACGAACCCACAGAAGCTCGCTGCGAGGCCCGGGGTGACGCAGACGCCCAAGGTGGAGGGCAAAGGCGGGGTCTTCAGAGCAGCGAGAGAGGAGGAGGCGGCAGCGACCCGCAAAGGAGCTCCCGTCAGACCGCCGGCTGATCTCTCAACAGAGACACTGGAGACTCGCAGGGGGTCAGTGGCCCCGACACCGTCCACGTGAGGGAAAGCAAGAACCCGCCGTCCAGGCCGCGTTCCCCAGTGCGGCCGTCCTGCGGAACCGCAAGTGACATCGGCAGCCCCCCAGGCGGGAAAGAAAACTTACAGGGGTTCATCACCACCAAACCAGTATTACAGGAAAGGTGAAAGGGCCCTTTTAACAAGGAGGAGGAGGAGGAGGAGGAGGAGAAGGGAGGAGGAACATTGTTACAAGGAATAAAATGGCCATAAACAGGCCCATCCAGAGTCACCCTCAATGTGGATGAAATGCCCTGATCTAACGCGGAGGGGGGGGTGGGCTGAATGGACAAGAAAACGCCCCTGCGCAGGCCTCTCCGAGAGACCCGCTCCAGATCGGAAGACACGCAGACGGAGGAGACGAGGACCCAGAGGGCCCCGTCGTGCAACTGGAAGCGAGGAGGGACCGTGGTTTAAGAAGACAGGACGACCGGGACCGGGAAAACGGAACCGGGCGCCGCCTTTGCCTGGGGCTAAACAGACCGAGATCCGTGGTCGGGATCCCGTGGTCGGGATCCCGTGGTCGGGATCCCGTGGTCGGGCTCGTCCCCGCAGCCCCGCGTCCGTCTGCGGCGTGGCGAGGTCTCCGCGGTACCTGGACGTGCCTCAGTTTCTCCGGGACTGTCCCGGTGCACTTGTGGCCCCTTTTTTATTGTTTTAACTGGAGGGATTTGTCGTACATTCGACTTCTTTATAGATTGTATTTCTTTGTGTGTATGGAGCGATTCTCCCTGTTCATCGTTACTCCGTGGTGAAAGTGCAAACGGAACCTGAGAACTCACTCCACGGAATAAGCACAGGGAGGTGGGCTGGCACCTCTGCCATTAACAAAGGCGCTCACCTGCCTCCCACAGGGGTTTCTGGGGGCCTGGCGTTCCCATCAGTGCGAACCGCAGCCCAGCTCGCGCTGGGAGAAGGGGGTGCTGGGTTGCTGGGGATTCTCACTAATCTTGGCACTTTCTTGGAAAGAGTTGCAAGAAGAAAGTAAAAGAACTGCATGTGACCCATTCCTCACACGGTTCACCCCCGCTCCCTTCCCTCCCCCAAACCTGTTATGTACACGGCCGTGTTTTCAAAGGTACTCACAGCTCATTCTCACAAGACCGAAACCCTTTTCTGAGCTGTGATTTGTCATCGAGATAGGGCTCCTGCCTTCCTTGCACAGGTGCGGAGGAGAGGAGAGAAATAGGCAGGAAAAAAGTCTTGTTTGTCCATTTAAGGAGAGAAAGGTAAAAGACAACATTTTTCTTCATGTTTCTAAAGTATAAGGTTCTGCTTACGGACACCAAAATACAAAAGAGTTCTTATGCAGCTTAATTCTCCAGAACTTTCTCTTCCGCATCGTCCTGACCCAGGTCCTCGCTGAGAGACGCTCAGGTTCTTATGACTGCTGTCTGCACGAAGGAGCCATAATCCTCTTTTTTGGGAGGGTATAAATTCAAACACAAAGCGTAATGCTTCGTGTTCAGTTGCTGTCCACCCTGTTTCTGATAACAGTGTTTCTTTGGTATTTTCTATTGGCAAGTTCTGCGTAAAGATGGTAAGAAAAAAACCTAAAGCAGACTTGGAGAAATCGATGTTCACTTCCGGAACACGCAGCCACTGGGGAAACAGAGAATTTCCGTGTGACTGAGTTTATTTTACTTTGTGACTACTTTAGACATTAAATGGAGAACATTGTGACGAGTAAAACGTACAAAGTGAAGGACTAAAGATTATTAAGAAATTGGCTTTAAAAACAGCACATGGCTGCCCCTGTGGGGTCCCAGAAATCAAAAGATGCCGATAACACATCGCAAAGCAGCAAGTCCCCTGGCGGACGAGTTATCTTGACAAATGGACCTTTTGTGTCATTTTCTAAGTGAGTCCGATGGACGACATTGCAGTTGGTTTTCCGGCCAGAGCACCTCTGAGACAGATAGGGGGTGCTAACCACGCCGGACACCCCGACGGCCGGTGTAAATAAACCAGGGGGCGTCCTGAGCGGACAGGAAAGAATTGGCGGAGTCCCGATCGCGTCTTCTCACCAGGGGAAGGTGAAACCGTTCCGCGACCACCCCCCCGCCCTTGCACTCTGGGTCAGGGCACCGGGGGACCGCTCCGAGGCCCACAGGCCCCTTCCGGGAGCTCACCTGCATGGCCAGCTGCAAAATAAAACATGTGCTTGGGGTACAGTGACTCACAGGTAGATCACCCCCGTCAAGCAGCTACCGTGCACGCCCGTAAAAAAAAAAACACTAAAAAATGTGTAACTGTAAGTGTACAGTAGAAGCTAACTAAGCACATGATTACAGAGGAAGGGGAGAAGCAGTTTCATACACTGACATTCGATACCTGGTAATAAAGCAGATGATTCTGCATTCTCGCCGTTAAACGGGCCGGGCGGAGCCCTGAGATGTTCAGGTACCCAGTGTGCACCGCCGTCTGCTTTGTGTTCAGGTAAATGGTGCCTTCCACAGAAAGGTGGGGCATGTAAGTATGCGTTATCCTGGGTTCTGTGTGAAGCCTGTAATGGTAACGGTGCTTAAAGCCTCAGCTTAATTAAAACCCTCTTAAAAGAATGCAAGTGAGGCGCAGAAAATTGCATGTTCTAGTGGCCCCTTAAAGTGGAAAGTGTTAATATCATTTGTGCTGGGATTTTTTAACGTGGAGACTACGTATAGATGAGAATTTAACAGTTTAGGTTCCCTACCACCGGATCTTGCCAATTCCTCACCAGGCTTTGCTAGCCCATGGAGGTTGCTAGCTGAACAGAAACGGTGGCTAAAAACAAAGCATAAGGACCGTGTGGTCATTAAAATGCGTGAGCTGCTTTTATGAGATGAACTAGTTTAGTCGTCAAAGCCGTTACTTTCCGAGTTCTCTCTCTGTCCACCCATCTAGCGTCTACTGAGGAGTCGCTGGGTCTCAGGAGTAAGGGGAGCGAACCCGAAACTGATCGGGGCGCCGCCGGCTCCCGGTGGAGACCCAGCCCCGACGTGAGAGAGGGGACCCGGGGGCAGACTGTGCAGCACGGCCAGGGAGCCCCCAGCCCAGCTGAGGGGCCCGGGCCGGGGCCGCGGGACTTTCCCGAGTGGTGGGCGGCGAGCGGATGGTATCGCTGGGGCATGGTTTCAGGAACCGGCGACCCTTCTAAAGAGCTGTTCGGGGTGACCCGGGGCCAGGAGAGCGTCTGTGACAAGGACAATGAAAAGGGGCCTCTTCGCGGGGTCCCTGATTCACGTGAGACAGACGGCAGGCAGAGGGAAACCGTGCCCCGGCTGCTAGGGTCCTCAGACAAAGAGGGGGGTGTCTCGAAGGTGGGGCTAAAAGGTGGGGTGCGGAGAGGAAGAGGGTTTCCTGGGTGGGCAGTGAAATCACCAGTCTCTACGAGGCACTGTGGTTGAGAAACAGACCGGCACCTCCCCCGCCCCCCCTCGTGAGGAGTGCATGGTGGGAACACAGCAGGTCCCTCCGTGGGGGAGTCCGGGGGCGGGGCGCCTCTCACGAAGCGGCCACTCGGCTGAGACCGGTGACTGTGGCCCCCGGGCAGGGTCGTCACACTGTGACCGACGGTGCTCCCTGTGCGGTGCTCCACACCCCCGCGCCCGTTCCCGGGCTCAGTAGTCTGTGATCGCGCGGGACTCAGTCCCGGGGTGCAAGGTTAGCTCGGTAGCCACAGATCGATCCAGGCGGTACACCACGTGAACAAAGTGAGGGATAAAAACTGCGTGATCGGCTGGTGTGGCTCAGTGGATTCAGTGCCGGCCTGTGAACCAAAGGGTCACGGGTTCGATTCCCACTCAGGGCACAGGCCTGGGTTGTGGGCTGGGTCCCCACTTGGGGGCATGTGAGAGGCAACTACACACTGATGTTTCTCTCCCTTTCCTTCTCCCTCCCTTTTCTCTCTCTAGAAATAACAAAATCTTTAAAAAAAACACATAATCATATTGATAGAGGCAGAAAACGCTTTTGACAAAATCCAGCACCCATTTATTATTAAAAATAAAAAACTCTCAACAAAGTGGAAACGGAACAGACCCCAAACTAACAAAGGCCGTGCGGGACAAACCCAAAGATAGTGTCGTATTCAAAGGGGAAAAGCCGAAAGCATTTCTTTTTTTTTAAGATTTTATTTATTTATCTTTAGAGAGGGAAGGGAGGGAGAGAGAGAGAGAGAAACATCAATGTGCGGTTGCTGGGGGCCGTGGCCTGCAATCCAGGCATGTGCCCTGACTGGGAATCGAACCTGTGACACTTTGGTTCACAGCCCGCGTTCAATCCACTGAGCTACGCCAGCCAGGGTGAAAGCATTTCTTTTAAAATCAGGAGCAAGAGAGGGAGGGCCACTCCAACTGCTCTTGTCCAACACAGAACTGAAAGTCCCAGCCACGGCGATCAGAACAGGGTGGAAATAAAAGGCATCCAAACTGGAAAAGAAGAAGCAAACTGTCGTTATTTGCAGCTGACATGTGGCTGCATGTAGAGAACCCCAAAGATTCAGCACACAAAAACGGATAAATGTTCTCATCCATGAATTTAGTGAAGCACCAATGTATATTCAGAATAAATATTCAGAAACATGTTGTACGTTTATAGACCAATAATGAACTGTTAGAAAGGGAAACTAAGAAAACAATCTCATTTCCCAATTGCATTAAACAATAAATAACATACCTAGGAATGTATTTAACCAGGGAGGTGAAAAACCTGTGTCGGTAAAATTATAAGACACCGAAGAAAGATTCTGAAGAAGATACAAATCAACACCATCATCCTGGATAGGAAAAAATAACACCGTTAAAATTTCCATACTACCCAATGCAATTTCTATCAAAATACCCATGGCGTTTTTCACAGAACCAGAACAAATAATACAAAAATGTAGGCGAAACCACAGAAGAAGGCCGCAGCCGTGGGCAGCTGGTGACCGGCAGCCTCATCATGACGGCGCACCTGCTCACGCATCACGTCTCAGGCAGAGTTTCTTGGCAAAACGTCAGATCACCCAGGTGACACAGCCCCCTACAGCCCAGATTTGGTGCCCTGCGACTTCTGGCTTTTCCCAAGACTCAGATCCCCTTTGAAAGGGAAGAGATTTCAGACCGTCGATGAGATTCAGGAAACTACAACAGGGCAGCTGATGGAGACTGGGAGAACTGTGCGAGGTCCCAGGGTGCCTGCTTTGCAGGGGACTGAGGTATCACTGTCCTGTGTACAAGTGTTTCCTGGATCTTGTCTCTTCCTCAGTAAATGGCTTTATTTTTTCACATGTCCACGGCCGGGCGCACTCTGCCCAGACCTCCCGTGCACCCCTGCGTTCGCCGCAGTGTTATTTGCAATGACCGAAATGTGGACCTGACCTCGCTGCCCGCCGGTGGACAGGCGGGTCGGGAAGAAGTGGTACGGGAAGGTACACATCAGGATGTTGCCCGGCCATAAGAAACGAAACCTTCCCAGCTGCCTCAGCGAGGGGGCTAGGTGGAGTCGGCCAGAAGAAGACAGATACCCTGTGATCTCACTTACTTGTGGGACGTGCAGAACAAAATCTGCGCACAAACGGAACACAGACCCGCGGTTACAGGGACAGAGCGGTGGTGGCCAGGCAGGGCGGGTTCCGCGGGGCTGGGATGGGGGGCGGGGGGGGGGGGGCGAAGGGCTGAGAAACACAGACCGTCCCAGGAAGGCCGCACAGCCGCAGCAGGGGGGGCGGCGTGGGCGACGGTGTGACGGCCCTGCAGGGCGCCAGCTGGCCATCGGGGCGTCAGGGGCCACTTCGCAGATAACGAGGTTCTCCAGCCACCACGCTGCACCCTGACACTCACACAGAATAGCGTTGGCTGCAAACTGCCACTGGAAAATAAGGTTTAGAAACAATGAAAACTCAGGAGCAAACTCACTAAACTTCAGGATACGAACTGCGTGGAACACCTTGAAGAGAGCGAGTGGTTGCCAGCAGCAGCACACGGTGCACAGTGAGTGAGTGAGCACCCAGAACCTCGAGGCGCATGGGTCAGCCCCGGATCGGGGTGCTGTCCCCCGTGGGAGCCCTGTTCAGGCAGGGGACAGGTGAGCCCACGAGGACTCCGAGAGCACAGCCTGTGACTCCCCGCCCCCCATCTGAGCCCCACCTGCACCCCCACTTCCAGGTCGGAGGGCAGGGGAGCCGGGTCTGTGTGAGCTGACCCCCCCAGGCGCACAGGGCTGTGCTGTGGGAGTGTGGATTGGGGGTCCCCGTCTCCGGTGGCGGGACGCAGGGTGCAGAGGCCAGGGCCCCCCTGCGTGCAGGACACGCAGCCCCCCCCCCTCGCTCCCGGGGCAGTGGCCGCCTGCTGTGTCGTCGGCCAAGCCTGTCTCCGCCTCCAGGCGCCCCGAAGGGTCCGAGACCGCACGGACCTTGGAAGGTAATTTTTAACTAGAAAGTAACCTATTTACGGGAGTGCCTTTCAGCAAGTGGTTCGAACCGGCTTCTGTTTTCTGGCCTTAGGGTGCTAGAAACTTCTCGCGGAAGGCCACGGCCGGGTCTCAGAGCCGAGCTGGGGGAGGGCCGTGGGCACCGCCCGTGTTCAGAGGGGCCTGACCTCCCCGCGCAGCTCTGCCTGGCCGGGCGGCCGGCCCGGCCGGGAGAACCCAGGAGGAGAAGATCGTGACCGTTCACTGTGGTCTCGGGCGTCGCTCCTCCGCGCGGGGTCTCTCTGGTGGCCTGCGGGGAGGTGGTTCCGCCCTCACACCCGCCCGCCAATGTCCCTTGGTGGCGCCGTGCTCTCCGTCTCCGTGTGCAGGCGTGCTACCTGCCGTCCGCAGCGCGCCCGTTGTGAGCGTGTGGCTGAGGGAAGAAGCAAACACTGAGAGGGAATTCCCAGCTCAAACAAGTAACGAGATGCCACCCGGGGAAGAAACTCACATCGATGCTAACAAACAAACAAACAAACAAACAACCCAGCACATTTCCTCCCCCTGGAGACGTCAGGGCCGGGGCGGGCGGCGCGGACGGGGAGCTCACGGGTGACCTGCTCCCTCCCGTCCCCGTGTCCGCGACGCTTCCCCGCGTGCTTTCCCTCCTGCGTGATGTCCCGCGGCCCCCTCGCCCGATGCCTCTCGGCTCCGGGGGGTGTACTCCCCCCTCCGTCGGCGCCGAGGATGCAGCTGCAGCCCGGTGTCCTCTCGAAACCGCCAGAATATACATGCAAGCGAGGGGCGGGTTCATTAACAGTTCCGATCCCAGTGAGTTCTCCGGGCAACCGAGATCTCCCCCCGAGGAACTGGGCAGCACGGCCACACGCAGCCCCGCCGGGCGGGCGCGGACGACCCCCGTGCGCCTCTCTGCGGCGGTGCAGCGCCCACAAGCACACAGCGCCGCGGGTGCCGATGGCTCCTGGGGGGCAGCGAGGGCTCGGGGCGCAGCCCGGGCCGCAGAGCGCCCTCCGCGTCCGTGTCTGTCCACCGGCCCTCAGGTTTCCGCTGCACCGTCATCCTCTGCCAGGGGCCGGCTCGGCTCCCCGCCCCCACACCCCCCCAGCCCCCGGTGTAAGAGCTCCGGAACCCGGCCTCTGGGTAAGCCCTTAAGTCCCTTATCGGCGCCGGGCAGCTCCCGGAGTTCAGATTTCCCCGGGGAGTGAGGTCCGACCGAACAGGGAGGCCCGCGCGACCCATTGTGCATTGTCGGGGCGTTCAGCTGTCTGTTTCGGAACTGGCCGACATCCTAATCTCCGCCCGCCTTCGGGCATCTGATCCCGCATTTGCCTAATTAAAAAACGGGGCCGGGGAGGCTGCTGCTAAGCCACACACGCACGCACATGCACACGCACACACATGCACGCACACGTGCACACGCACACGCACGTGCATCCCCGACAGGAAGTGTGGCATGCAGGGAGCAGCCTACCAGCACTCGGGGTGTCTGCCGGAGCTCAGCCTGTGTTCCCCGGCGTCCTGCGCGCCGGCGCCTGTGCTTTGCCGTCTGGGTCGGGGAGCGGGAGCGCCCTGAAGCAGACTTTGCGCAGCTGACGAGACGGGAAACCCCATCGTTGTGTTGGTGCCCATCCCTCACAACCATGTACACGATGCGAGTCCGGGATACGGCACTGAATGGGGACAACTGAGGGTGACCCCGTGTTACTTGGATGCAGGTGGTGCGGGACCCCCTGTGCCCCCCTGGAGTTCAGAAGGTTCGTGCTCAACGCCGACCCGCCCCCGAGTTCACTCTGCGGGCCAGGGCCTCTCGGGACGCCCGAGGCCCGGGGAAAACCAGACGAGAGACTGTGTCCTCTGTGTGTCTGGAGAACGCCCTGGACAGTCTGTTCACTCTCATCACAGCCGCGGTGAGTGCGTGTGCGTGTCTGTGTGTCCGCGTGTGTGTGCGCACACCACACGGGTGTGCGCTGGAGCGGGTGGTGTCTCCGCTCGGCTCTAACGGGACTCGAGTCGCAGGAGGACCTGTGCCCGGGCCCAGCCCCCTCCTGCGGTGACTCGGGAAGCCCCCCCCCCAGTCGCACCCTCAGTCCGGCCTGCGCCGGGGAGGCCCAGTCCGCTGGGGGCCCCGGACGAGCAGCCACGGAGGCGCACTCCCTCTGTCACCGGACACAGTGGGTGCGTTGGTCCGGGTGGGTCCACACTGCTGCGTCCCCGGGGCGTCCCTCGCTCGCTCGCACGGGAAAGTCACCGGCTCCGCTGCTCCCCGCGCGGGGAGAGTCGGCCCTCGGACTGGGAACGCGCCCGCGGCAGCGACAGCTTGAGAAGCTCCGCGTGTTGGTGGGAGAAGGGGAGGGGCTGTGTCATGTGACCACACGTATTATCGATCCGTAAGGAAGCGTGGAGTTCATGCGGAAATGACGTGTGGACATGACTCGTACATGCTGACCTGTCGGAAGGCAGTGAGTCTGGACGCACGAGGGACACCCTGGTCCAGACACTTCTGCTTCTTTGTTGGGGGCGGGGTCTGACCGCCCTGAGCGTCCTGGAGTCCCTTGTCTCCCCGGCCTCTCTGCCCACGAGACCACCCCCTTGCTCGCCCCCGCCGTGACAGCCAAAAATGTCTCCTGACGTTGGCAAACGTCCATGGGGGCAAAATCATTCACACCCACCCCCCCCACACACACGCACCCCACAACCACTGGTTCAGACCACACTGTGAGGGCGACGTCGGTGCACTAGCACCCCGCGAGCTCCCGGAGCTCCCCACTGTCCCCAGGCCTCCGGGTGCTCACAAAATGCCGTCGGCACTGTGCGCGCTCACCCGACGGAGAAAAGTGTGGCTTCTCTTGGCCTAAGAGAATGTTATTACACCAATCCTCATTTTTTAGAAGGAGGGGAGGGAGGGAGGGAGGGAGGGAAAAAGAGAGACAAACTTTTATCTGAGGTATGCATTTGGACTTTGACCAAGTAGACACTTAGGCCTACACCTTCCCCGAGGGATCTGGTGATTTATGTTTTCAGCGCCCAGAGTGAGTGATCTCTCAGGTGCCTTCCTCTGCCCGCTGTCCCAGGCCCGGAGAGAGCGGTCCAAACTTCAGAGCCGGTGCAGCCCTGAGCCAGGCTCCGGTCGCAGGCCCTGGTTCAGGTGCACCCACAGGGTCCGCCTGAACCAGGGCCTTCCGATGCGCCTTTCAGTTTCCCACCCGGGCGACTGTTGGCGATTCTCGTGAACGTTGCTCCCGAGACTCGCTGCGGACGTGTGTTTGAGAGTTCGACAGGACGCCTGGTCATCACCGCTAGCGCAGCCCCTGGCTGCGAGTACCTCTCTCTCAGTTACAGAAACACGACTGTTTACACAGGGGTGATGTAGACACAAACGTTTTCCAATCCAAAGGTTACTTTTCATTTGAGGGCAAGGATCCGAACTATAAATCATTTTTCAAACAGAACAGCACGTTTTTCAAAGTTTTAAAAGTGCCTTCCGAAAGCGTACCCCCTGAGAAGCGCAGACCCGGGAGGTCTCAGAGAAGAAGGAACCCGGTCCCCTGCCGGAGGGGACGCAGCCCGGGGCGGCTGCCGCGGAGAGTGGCTGGGAAGCTCCTCAGGAAAGGAAGAACAGACTCCCCATGTGACCCGGCGACCCCTCCTCGGCGCATCTGCCCGAAAGTTTGAGAACGTGTATTTGCAGAGACACATGCGCCCCTGTTGTCCACGGCGGCCAGGACAGGGGGAGCACCGAAGTGCCCATCCACGGAGGGCTGGGCAGGGAGACCTGGTGCGTCTCTGCCATGGCAAACCACTCGGCCACAAGAAAGATGAAATACTGCCCTTTGTGACGACGCGGACGGACCTTGACCGTGTCGCGCTACGTGAACTTAGTCTGATAAAGCTCAGAACCACATGACCCCCTGGCGTGTGGGGTATAGCACAGAACGCCACAGACGCAGGCGACAGTGTGGGGGTCGCCAGAGGGAGGGGTGAGAGGGGGTGAAGGGTGGAGGGGGCCCACCCGTGGTGACGGGCGCTGACCCGA